AATATTTGAGAGAATTCTTCCATGGTGGGTACCAAATGATAGTTTGGGAAAGTGAAGCAATGGTGTTTAGGGTCAAAGAATTGAAAGAGTGCACTCATCATCTTCTCATCAAATCCCGAGGTAACTAGATTGAGAGGTCGACCATATTTCTTGGTGAATGAAGAAGTCTCAGGAACCCTTGATACTATCTCTTTGAGTTGGAGAGGTATTCTTACGAAGTTGATTCAAATATTATTTCTACGAGAAGAAGCCATGATCTGCAAAACAGAACAAAGATAAATTCCCCTGGTCCTTGAAATGGTCAATGAAATGAAATATGGATGTTATGATGCATGATGTCATGTTTAAGCAAATTAATCACACACAAGCAAAACACACAAGACCTTAGGTTTAGGCTTGCATGGAGTTTATAGGTAAATACCCTCTTGAAGTTTAGTTGGTTCAACCTGTCTTAGAAAAGTAATCGGGTTCTAAGGAGTCTCAATATCACTGATATTTCTTTATCGGGCATTGTTTCAGCTTAGCAATCTTTTCTTGCGGCCAAAATATCTTGAAAGTCCGATCTCAATGAGTGTAGCATCGAGTATCAACCAATCCTCAGCTTTACACCGAGGCCGGCTATCTCACTATGTTTTAATGTCCAAGTTTGTTCAACTAAGGTTCTAAGGTCCGTTAGTGCTTTACGACACCACACGACGGCCCTGTATTCTCCTCAATTCAACACAAGGGATACCGGTACCAACCAAAGTGTCACACCAACAGAGCTATCACTTCAACCATATCGGTCTACACCATACAATCTCCACGATCTATTGTTGTTTACCTAAAAATATGCCCCCAGATCCGGGTGTAGGATCTATAGTAACAACCCTCCAAAGATAAAGCATACAAAGTAAGCAATTAAAACAGTTTTAAAATGAACTAACTCTTAAGGTAACTCCACTTTTTATTCAAGTCCCCAACAGAGTCGCTAGTTTTGTGATACGGTGGCAGAACCGACTGTTTATACTGGTTTTCCGTTTACGTTCGCAAATTTTGCGGTAAGCAAGAGTCGCCACCGACTTTTCTTTTATCAAAATTAAGGAAAGCGTGAAAAGAACAGAAAAATACCTTTTCGAGAATTTTCTGAGTAAGGGGGTAGATTATGGAAAGGGAAGGTGTTAGCACCCTTTCCATCCGTAGTTTTCTACGGGCTCTCAAATGCTTAGCTCATTTTGAAATACCTTGTGCTTTGTGTGTTTTGAAAAGTATTTTTGAAAGCGCCTTAGTGCGACGATTCGCTTAATGATAACTCTTGTATCAGTCCTCAAGAGTGTTGATAAAGCGTTTTGAAAAATGGTTTTTGAAAATTGTTTTGTGTAAGTGCAAAAGTTTTTTTTAAGCAAGCATTTAAGAACTATCTGCTTATACTCGAAAAGGTTCGTTCTTTTCTCCTTTCCTTTAGACAGTGCTATCCTACTATTAGTGAGTAGGTAGCCTTATCATTGGATGTTTGAGGGACATTCGAAGGGACGTACAATCATAAAGGCAACAGATAGAGACGCTTTAGCAATTTTGTTTAAGGGACGAGATCATTTACCGAAAGGAAACACTGTAGGATCATCGAGGGACTATGATCTTTAGATTCGAGGGTTTTTTTGCTAAAGCGTCCATATTCTCGAGGGATATGACTGTTATTTTTCGAAAGGCAACCAAAGTGGACGTACCTTAGAGGTGCATATGTGCAAGTGATTCAATTTGGTTCATTTATCTTCGTTATTAAGTTAGCTAGCGCTTTGTTTTCAGTCTTTCCATACAAGTCTAATTACTAACAGTTAATATTGTGCAGAAATTTAAAGTGCTAGGAATCATAAATCCTACGCTATTACAAGGCTTTTGGGGAGGGGGGTATTTACATGTCCAAAAAATGGGGGAAAAATAAAGAAAGCGGTAAAGAGCCCTAGTAATTATCTATTACATTCCATCAGTAGATACATTAGTATAAAAAAAGTGGGAAAATAATAACGCGCGCGAATTTAAAATAACCTCTAAAACCCTAAAAAATTGCTAAGTAAAAACAAGAAAATCTTTTTGGTTTTTGTTTATTTCAAGAAAATGCTTAAATTAAATTAAATGAGAAAAACTAAATATAATACTAATTAATTAAATATAAATGATTATTAATTAAAATTAAATCTAATAAAAGAAAAAACAAAAACTAATTCTACTATTTTTTGTATTTTTATTAAGAAAATATTTGAGTTAAATAAACTAATTCTAATTTATTTTAAAATAATTAAAACAAGTCAAAATAACTAAGTTAATTAATTTACAAAAATTAAAATTAATTTATAAAATCCTAAGTCTATTATTGTTTTTTTTTAAAATTAAATTAAAAAAATGATTTAAAAGAAAATAAGCAATAAAACAAATAAAAAAAAGAAAAGAAAATTGGGCCTGGTGTCTAAAGCAAATAGGGGGCTGCGTTTTTGGAATTGCTAGGCCCATGCATGAAAGAGCCCAGGGGCTGTATGGATTCAATGGTGTTGTTCCCTTGAAGGTCTATCATGAGCGCCTGGATCTGGAACGTCTGATCTGATGCTATAATGCTCTAATGATGGTGATTTGAGGACACAGAGTATGCACGCTGCAGGTGGAAGTGCTGGATCTACAAGAGAATGTTAGAAAAATAAAATATGCAAGAGGAAGAGTTTCGAACCCCTCTCCTTATATAAAACAAAGCTTTAAACATGCTGCCTCTACTGTAGGGACGGTGATACTTCTATTGGCCTAAACGTATCCAGAAATATATATTATATACAATGCAATTATTTTAAATTAAAAAAAAAATTGAACGCAGGTGGGACCCTGGTGTTTAGGTGGACCAATCAGAAGTGGAGAGAGGGAACTAATATTTTGAATCAACCAATGGGATGCAGGGATGAGGCCACGCCAGCTTGGACCACCACCTGCAATTAGTCAGACCACCATCCACGCTGGTCACGATCATCTTCTCCGGCGAGGCTAAATATCAAAACCTGCAAAATACGCAATATCAAAGCAACTAAAGCATCCCACCCCCTTAAAATTTCCCAAGGAATTCAATGGTGGCCTTTATTTGATTTAAAAATTCATTTATCATGAGGTTCGAGGATTCCTGTTTGATATGCCTTAACAATGGTGATCTATGATTTTGGCACTTTCACCCATATGAGACACGTTAGAACATTAACAAGCAACTATAATAACATGAATATGTAAAGAGAATTAGTTTATATTACATGTAGAAAGAGTTTGAGATTATCAAAAATACCCAAAACGGAATGATGATGATCTGCTTGATCTGGGTGTGGAACCGTGTACTAGAGGGTTGGGTTGAGTTCCTGGAAGCCTCAAGGATATGTTTGATTCCTTTGTTTGGACTGAGGAAGGTTGGAAAGGTGTTTTTTTATTTTACAACTTTGGAAAAATTTTACAATTTTTTCGTGACTCTTTGAGGCAATTTTCAGCGTGTATAATGCTTGCAAGGATGATCCTTATATAGAGGAGATGGAGGGAGCAAGGTAATAAGGAAAGAATCAATCCCATAAACATGTTGTTTAAAGCCATGATTACAATTTGAAAAAATTCCTAAAATGGAGATTTCATGCTGTTTTCAAAGCTGGATGAACCTGGGCACATTTGCACAAATTCTTAGGCCTTAAGACAAAACAAAACATTATCCCAAATGCCAAACCCATCTCTAAATATTTTATACAATTTAATTTGTATTTATTTGATATAAATGAAAATAAATATGAATAAAATAGATAAAAATGTTATGGTAATGTAAAAATTATATTATAGGTCCCTTATAAGGTTAGGAAGACCTTTGAAGTCCAAGAAGTTAGGCCATTGACCTAAAAGTTCAATTTTGTCCAATGCACAATTCTTGAAATTTCCCAAATTTTATCTCATGATGATGATATTGGACTTTTTGGAAAGCCCAATATGTCTAATTCAATCCCTCTTTTGATGAATTTTGCATTTGAAGATTTTATCCTGATGTAAATGGTCTTGATAAAAAGTGCCTTTTGTTGACTTTCTGAAAATGACCTGTAATGTATGAGCTTGTATCTTTCAAATGGTGCATCTCTTGAACTTTAGGACAAAAGAGAAGTTGTAGGGAAATACATTCTCTTCAAAATGATATTTGGTTGGGGAAAATGGATGAAGTATGTGAAAGTTATTCCTAGTCAAAGTTCAGTTGACTTTTCTTATAGAAACCCTAATTTAGCAATTCTTGACTTTTGATAGATTAGGAGCATTTCTTGAGGAATCATGATCAAACCTTGATCAAATGATGGATATCACTTCAAAATGTTGATGTTGACCAAAAATTTTGAAGTTTGACTGTATGTGGGCCATAGTTGACTTTGGACCTAGTATAGTTGATTTTCAAGCATTTGAGCAATTGACTGAGCAAAATTGTAGTGTAAGGCATGAAATTTGTCATGGACAATCTTGAATGCATATTAGGACAATGAAAAATATTTGAGACCTTTGGAGCTCACACATCTTGATGAAAAGTGAAACCCTAATTAGAAGTTCACTGCTTAGGAGGAGAATTTGCCTGGTCAATTCTTGGTCAACCTTGAGCAATTGAGGACCTCTAGGAGCATGTCTTAAGTAAAAATGGGAGGGAAAATTTTGGGGTACAACAATTTCCAACTCTTTTACTTAACCTCACATAGAATTTGCAGACAACCATACACTTAACCACCACCCTCTTTCCATCATTTTTCTTCAAGAACACATTTGTCTTACTCTCCATGGCATATTCCTTTGTAGCACCCCTTATCAACTCTTTACTGTTAAACTCTATACCCAACTGGAATTCAATGGCCTGACAACTTTTATAACTCGAAAAAGTCGCATACTCTTGCTCATCCTCACTTTCATTAGGTGTATGCAACTTATCCGAATCCTCACCATTATGTTCAAATTGTTTTAGTTTTAGAATGCAACACTATTTTCCAATCTTATTCAATAGAGTATTCATTGATATAAATGTCACTTTTAGAGGAACATTCACTTCCAACATAGTCAACATATGTATCATCATTACCCTCCTTATCAATGTTAACTTCAACGTCGTCATCCTTATCATAGTTAACTTCAGCATCAACATCAACTTTAAAAGTATCCTCCTTGTCATTGTCACCTTCAATATCAACCTCCTTATCATTGTCAACTTCAACATTATCCTGCTTATCATTGTTAATTTCAACATTATCCCCCTTCTCATTGTTAACTTTAACATTATCCTCCTTCTCATTGTTAACTTCAACATCATCATCATCTACAATAACATCCTCCTTATCATAGATAACTTCAACAACATCAGCATCAACATCAAATCCATGAATTTCCACTGCTTCATCTATTATGTTAGGTTTATCAACACCGTGCTCCACATACATATAATCCAAGTCGAATCCACTAAGA